AGAGTGACAGTAAAACCATCCTCTTTGAGCAGCTTTTATCCTAGTAGGATAAGATGTGTGTGCCAACACTGTGGCCGCAGGTGGGATCGGGGCCAGGGAAAGTCTGCAGGATTTAAGGGGAGTGGGGAGGGGCCGGGAAGGCCTCCAGGCTTTGCTACAGCCAACATGCAGACAGAAACATGACCCATGCTAAGACTGCAGTGTCCACAGGGTAAAAATAAACCAGTCGCTCAGGGAAAGAACAACTATTTTTGATTCTGACATCAGACAGAAATTCTCCCTGTGGTTCCTGATAGAAGATTCTGTTTAATGGAATAAAAACCCCAAACCAAAGGGTCTTCTTTTTTTTTTTTTTTTTTTAAACCAATAAACAACTGTAAGTTTGAGCAAGGCTGAAAAGCTGTAATGAAAACCAGGAAATTGAACACGGACGTGAGGGGGAAGAACAGGGTGTGGCTCTCCCGTGGCGACTCCATGCCTGCAGCAGGGACAGAGAAGAGACTAAAACGTCCCTGCACACTTAAAGTAACGTCTTTGTGGAACAAAATGGAGATAGGCCTGGGACCAGCAGTTGGCGTAATGGCTATGTCGCTGGACTCCCATGAAGTCGACCACGGTTCAAGTCCCAGACCCGGTGGCTTAAACTCACGCCGGGCGCGTGTGCGTGCATGCCCAAGATCCCGAGAGGAGAATGGAGGAGAAGGGATTGCAGCGTGGCCATCCCCCCTGGGGGGTGATTTCTCGCTTTCTGTCTCTCTGTCTCTCTCTCTCTTTCAGGTGAGTACACGTGTCCTATAACAAAAAAAAAAAAAAAAAAACTCTCCAAAAAAGAAAAAATGTAGATAGACCTAAGTAAATGTCACGGTACCATTTAAACAGGCTCACGTTTTCTTATACAAACTGAATCCCCAAACAGTTTGACGTCAACATGTTGATGATCCAGAGAAAAAAGGAACAGGTCATTGTCCGAAGCAAATGAAAGGGACTTACATCTAGGAATTACTTTTACTTATTTATCTGTTTATTTACTTCTGCTATAAGGTGTGTGCCCTCGTCGGGAGGGGGGACATCTCCCCAGGGGAGATGGCCATGCCTCAATCCCTTCTCCTTCCTTCTCCGGATTTTGGGCATACACGCACACGAACCTGGCATGTTGCCGGGTTTGGGACTCGAATTATGCACTCAGCCATGTGGGATCTAGCCGCCTTAACCTCTACACTATCTGCTGGATTACTATTTTTAAAACAAAGGTCCCCCCAAAAAATCCCATTTGATATTCATGTGGTTTTACAAAGGCTGGGTTTTTGTTTGGGGGGTTTCTTGGCACCATTTAGATTTATATTATAGCATAGGTTTATCTTCTTCCACTTCATAAAAGCTGTCAGGAGGGCCAGAACAATGGTCTAGTGGTTAAGGGAGCCGGATGCCACATGGGCAACCACACAGTTCAAATCCCGGAACTGATGGCTTGTGCGTGCGTGCCCAAGTCCCGTCAGGATGGAGAAGTGGAGGACTACAGCCCGGCCGTGGCTGACAGCATGCCTCCTCCTCTCCCTCTCTGTCTTCCAGTCATTCTCTGGGGCGCACACGTGCCCTCGGGGGAATAAAAGAAAAAAAAAATGAAGAACTGGCAGGGTGAGTATGATTCTTTATCAATTTTTAAATTAGTGAAATTTTTTACTTGAGATTAAATATGGTGAATCCAGGGACCAGCAGTTGGCATAATGCCTACGTTGCTGGACTCCCTTGTAATCAACTACAGTTCGAGTCCCAGTGGCTTAAACTCACACTGGGCACGTGTGTGTGCATGCCCAAGATCCCAAGAGGAGAATGGAGGAGAAGGGACTGCGGCGTGACCATCTCCCCTGGGGGTGATTTCTCACTTTCTGTCTCTCTGTCTCTTTCTGGAGAACGCACGACCTATAGCAAAAAAATAAATAAATAAAAACAAACAAACAAAACTCTCAAAAAAAAAAATGGGGGACCAGCAGTTAGGGTAATGGCTATGTCTCTGGATTCCGATGTAGTCGACTGCAGTTCGTGTCCCGGACCCAGTGGCTTAAAACACGCTGGGCGTGTGTGCGTGCGTGCCCAAGATCCCAAGAGGAGAATGGAGGAGAAGAGATTGCGGCATGGCTGCCCCCCCGGGGGGGGGTTTCTCGCTTTCTGTGTCTATGTCTCTGTCTGGTGAGCGCACGTGCCCTATAGCAAAAATCTCTCAAAAAAAAAAAAAAGTAAATGCAGTCATTTCAGACATCCCTTTAATGTTGTGGCTACTTTAATGTAAAAGATTCGTGTTATGAAGGAGTCTGGTCTCTCATCTGGCCACTGAAGGCAAAAGTGTCCTTCCACAAAGTTACGAGAGAAGCTTTTCCTTTAGGAAAGAGAACTTGGGAATGGCTGGGTAAGGAGAATCGCCCTCTCACTGCCCGTCAGTGACCTACTCACCCCTCCGCGGTAAACAATGCACAAGCACCACCCCGTCTTCTGAGGCAAACGTCTGCAGAAACTGATTGGAAATAAAGCCATACCCGATGGGATGCTTTAATTCCAATGATTAGTCCCACACCGTCAATAACACGAACTTGAAGCTTCCAAATGGGCCAGCTATGAACTTTCATGAATGACTGGCCACAAAAAGCTTCCGATGCTATCGCAAAGACGCACACACCTGCAAATGAGTAAGAGGTGGCGCGACCTGGATCAGTGTGCAAATGTTTACTCATGAACTTGGCTCTCAAGGTTGCGCCATTTTTCATTTTATTGTCACAGTCACTGATTACATCTGCCACCTACCTAAGAGCAATCGATGCAGACAAAGTACATAGAAAACAAAGCAAAATACAGTTAAAATGATTAGTCCTTACACTTATGCACTGATGATCTGAAACTTTTTTTGAGAGAGAGATTTTTTTGCTACAGGGCACGTGTGTTCACCAGAGAGACAGAAAGTAAGAAATCACCTTCCCCCTGAGGGGATGGCCACATTGCAATCCCTTCTCCTCCAATCTCCTCTTAGGATCTTGGGCATGTGTGCACATGTGCCTAGTGTGAGTTTTAAGCCACCAGGTTTGGGACTCGAACTGCCATTGACTATGTGGGAGTCCAGTGATGTAACCATTATGCCATCAGCTGGTCGTGAATCTGTACCGTCCTAGGAATAGCTCATTCACGTGGTAGGCAGCAGTGGCGCTACTCAGCCCCTCATCTAGTTCTCGCAAGAATTGGAATGGCTCATGAGAAGTGCATGTGTTCAAGAAGGAAAGTAAAACTCACAAAGAAAGCACAAATTAGAGTAGAAAATGAAGACTATAGCCAAGATCAGAGGTCCTACCCAGTTTACTACAGTTAAACAGAGAATTTGGTTCTGTGCTTCCTAGCAGCCAAGGTGAAAAGGTAAACCAGGTAAGTTACATGATTTGCTGTCGAAAACAGACATTGTGCAAAGCTTTCCTATCCCTTACTATGAAACAACTGCTCTGGCAGACACTGGAAGAGGTGATGAAAAATTGTCCCAGTAGCATCTCAACAGCAAATGAGATCACAGAGCTATTTATATGCTGTCCAGGGTTAAACTTGAACTCTGCAATAGGGTCACTAATAAGGCCCAGGTGCACAATTTTTCAAGCGACATTGTGGATCGAACTGGGTATAAAAGACGGAAGGCCCAACAGTGTGGTTTTCCTACAAGATTACTAGCAGAAAAGTGCCCGAAGGAGAGCGAATAGCCACAACTGTGAGGGCCCTAAGTTTCCATCCTCACCTCCCTCTCTAAACAGACCTCTGGCCACGGTCCTCCACCCCACAGCCTCGTCCTCCATGACGCTTAGATGCCCTCACACCCAGAGCTAACGTCCCTTCTCACTCCCTCACCTCACACAGGTACTTCATGTCCACCAGCACAATTGACCCCGCGAGTCCCAAACGAAAGGAGGCGGTGTGTCCGCCCAGCGTCTCTTCCTTCAGCCATTTCTAGCCGGTCAAGGGAGCCCCATCTTCCCAGGCACCTGGGCTTGGCTTCCGGCAGCCGCACACCTCTTTCCTCTCCCCCCCACGTCCCATCGAGACCCATCGGTGGACGACTCTACTGTTCCTGCCTGCACTCCCATCGCACCGTCTCCGCTCGGCCCCAGGGTGGCCACCCCAGGTCGCAGCTCCACGGCCTCCAGGCCTTGACGACAGCTCCTCGGGGGTCTCCGGGCCACCTCCGGCGCCCACTCCAACTCGTCTTACACACTTCTGAGAATAATGCTCCTGCAGCTGCACCCATGCCGGCTTCTCACACACCTGCCGCGTCCCCTCCGCCCACCTGAGGCACGTGGAGCTCAGGCCCTGCCCGGCGGCTTTCCCCCTCACACGCCCTCTACACCCAACCTGTTGACTGGCCTGGCTACTCCCCCAATAAGCTCAGTAACGCAGCCATGGGGTCCCCATCCCTTCATATAGGGCACCCTCCTCACCCTCACTTCTGCAGGCTAACAGACCCAAGTTCGGGACCAGCAGGTGGCATGGTGGCTAAAGCACTGGATCCCATATGGCCCACTCTGTAGGTTCAAGTCCCAGACCTGGTGACTTGTAAAACATGCCAGGCACATACGCATGCATGCCCAAAATCCTGAGAGGAGAAAGGAGGAGAAGGGACTACAGCATAGTCATCCCCATGGGGAGTGATCCCTCACTTTCCCTCTCTCTGTTTCAAACACGTGCCTTACGGTCAAAAAAAAAAAAAAGACCAAGTTTAAATGTTACCTCACCCAGGAAGCCTTCCCTGGTTCTCTCAACAAGAAGTAACTTTCTCCTCTCTCCTTCTCCCCGCAGTGGATGCGGGGTCTAATTCCAGAGAGATAACCTCACAGCTTATCAGCCTGGACTTCAGACCGCTCCACAATCGCTATCCGAAACTCACGGCTCACAGCCACCCCGCGGTTTCCGCTGAGCATGTGCAAGGTCCCCACGGTCGCTCTGCCCGGCACGTGGCTCACGGACCGAGCACCACGCACACGGAACCTCTGCAGGTGGCCGCATACACGCTGCCCCACTTAGGGCACGGCCCGCGCTTCGCTGCTCTCTGCGATCGGAGACGGCCACCTGGTCATTCACGCTGCACTCCGCCCCACTCAGCCCTCTGCAGCCCCGTCTCTCCCTGCCTGCCCACCCTGTCCCACCGGGAGGTCCGCCCAGGGAGAAGCAAACCTCGCTGCTTCGTTCCCAGGCACACGCCCAGCAGCCAGACCAGCACGGGTGCTCAGCAGACGGCCAGGGTGGACTAGCGAGTGGACGGACAGCTGGCAGGCTAACTTGCTGCTGGCCCGCGAGAGGTGGAGAATACATGTCTGCTGCACGAGGGCATCTTGTCCAGTACAGAAGGTACCTTAGGGGCCCGCACGTGGCGTAATGGTTACATTCCTGGACTCCCATATAATCGACTGCAGTTCGAGTCCCAGACCTGCCACCTTGAAACTCATGCCGGGTGCGTATGTGTGGGTGCCCAAAAATTCCCAGAGGAGAATGGAGACAAGATTGTGGTGTGGCCATCTCCCCAGGGGGTGATTTCTCACTTTCTGTGTCTCTGGTGAGTGCCCGCACCCTATAGCAAAAAATTAAAATTAAAATCCTTCTCTCTTAAAAAAAAAAGTGGCTTTTACATTTATATTATGAGCTCTGATGGGCAAGGGGGGTCTGGATGCCCTCTCCAGCACCAACACAGTGCTTTACGCTGGCTAGGCTGGATTGCTGGGTCAACAAGGGCTCAGGGCCAGCCAGTGGTGTTGGTTAAGGTGGCTGGATCCTCCATGGCTCACTCCATAGGTTCGAGTCCCAGTCCCAGTAGCCAGAAAATCATTCTGGGTGCGTGTGCATGCATGCCACAATTCCCAGGGAGAATGGGGGGAAGGGATTGCACACCGTGGCCCCCTTCCTCCTGGGGGGTGCCTTCTCACCTCTTGCCCCCTTTCTGTCTCTCTCTAGCAAGTGCACACGCCCTAGAACGAACTAACTTTTTAAAATTACCAAATAAAGGGGCCAGCAGGTGGAATGGTGGTTAAGTCTCTGGACTCCCATATGGCCAAGTATGGTTTGAGTTCTGGACCTGGCAGCTTACTTTCTCAATTTCTCTCTCTCTCTCTCTCTCTGGTGACTGCATGTGCCCTATGGCAAATTAAATAATAATAATAATCATAAATTTAAAAAATAATTTTTGGAGAGGTTTTTGCTATAGGGCACTCACCAGAAAGACAGAGAGAGACAGAGAGACAGAGAGACAGAGAGTGAGAAATCACCCCCCAGGGAGATGGTCATGCCACAATCCCTTCTCCTCCATTCTCCTCTCAGGATCTTGGGCACGCACGCACACACGCCCGGCGTGAGTTTTAAGCCACCAGGTCCGGGACGTAAACCGCGGTCAACTACGTGGGAGTCCAGCGACATAGCCGTTACACTAACTGCTGGTCCCAAGAAATAATTATTTTTAACAAGACTCAATAAGAGCTGAGCTGAGTTACGGCCGTATCTGTGAAGCCTGATCTTGGCTCATCTTTTCCGTGTAGAGGAACCTGTACCAGTTCCTTCCCCATGGAGAGGCAGCCCTGCAGAGTAGCCCAGGTCACCAGAGGCGCTGCGGGAGGGCATGGTTCCAACCCCAGCTGTTCTGAGGACCCATGTAAATTGGGGCAACTAGCTAACCTCTCCCCACTTCAGAGAGCGGGCCTGTGGTGCAGAGGCCCGTGTCCTCCCTGGCTCAGTGCCGGCCCCGCGCCCGTCAGCACCCCTTCTTCCCAGTTTTAAATCGTTTGACTCATGTCAGAGTATTTTAATATGTCACCTGCACTTGAGCAGGTCCCTATTTAAAACAGCAGGGATAATGTGCACCAGGTGTTGAGTCTCCATTAACTTCTCAGGCCCCTGCAGCGTTCCAGAGACCAGCCGGTGACGTCAGCACATGCCTGCCACCTCGCCCGGAGGTCCCGCAGCTGCAGCATGGCAGTGTCCCGGGAGGGCACCCTCTCACATGGAAGAGTGATGCTCTTCCTCGTCACGCCCCACACAGGGACAGGGCAGGTAAGTGATGGCCCGCGGACTGCACCTGTTACATAGTGAGGCAGTGACATGCCCCAGCTTCACAATGGGTGGGTCTTTAAGATGAAAGTGCATCTCCGTCAGAATGCATCTGGTAGTATTCAAATCCCTCTGGGGGCTGATTCCCTTTAGAGGCAGGAAGTCATTGTGCAGGGCTCACAAAGACGAATGTCACCAACTCAAGTGACAGGCTATGATGACTGGGCCAGACAGGGTTCACTGAGATGCACCAGAGGCAAGAGCGCAGTGAGCCTTCTGTGAGAACATCGAAAAAGTCTCTTCCCACGAGCTTTACGTACCACAACGCTGTGGCCTACCAAAGAAGATATTCCACCTAGAACGACTCTTTATTTATTTATTTGTTTTACATCACTTAGCTCGTAAAGCGAACTCACCCGACGTGAACACACCTCATGCCAGTGCAGCTGAAGACACTACCCATGACCACCCGACAGCCCACTTCTGTGCCCCATCAACGTTCTGCCTCTACTTTTCTCCTTCATTTCTTGCCTCAGAACCACTGTAAAAAAAGGCCGAGTTCGAAAGATCATTCGCAGGTCAGCAAGTGGCATGGGGGTGACGGCAGCTGGATCCCACATGGCTGGCCCAGACCCAGCAGCTTGAAAACCGCATTGGGCAAGTGTGCGTGCCCAAAACCCAGAGGAGAATGGAGGAGAAGGGACTGCAGTGTGGCCCTTCCCTGGGAGGCGATTTCTCACTTTCCTTCTCTCTCTCTCTCTCTCTCTCTCTCTGTTGCCTCTTGATGATTCTCTTTTTTCCTAAATGTGCTTCTAAAACACAAATATCAAATTGTACTTTTTTTTTTGGAGAGATTTTTTGCTATAGGGCGCGTGCATTCGCCAGACAGAGAGAGACAGAGAGACAGAAAGTGAGAAATCACCCCCCAGGGAGGATGGCCATGCCGCAATCCCTTCTCCTCTGTTCTCCTCTCGGGATCTTGGGCACGCATGCACACGCACCCGGTGTGAGTTTAAGCCACCGGGTCTGGGACTCGAACCGCAGTTGACTATGTGGGAGTCCAGCGACATAGCCATTATGCTGACTGCTGGCCCCTCAAATTGTGTTTCAAGGAACCACATTTGTCACAGCTGGACATGCTGAAAGGATCAAAAGGACTGAGGGAAGCTGTCCTAAAAGATTTGCCCCTAAAAGGTTTCCAGCACTGGCAGGCGCTGCGCCGTGAGCGTGCGTGTCTGGGAGCCGCGTGTCCTCATGGAACGTGCCCTGCGCCCTTTCTGCTGAGCTCTCTCACAAAGTCACTGTTCCTGCAGTAAGGCTGTCTCAGTCTTGCTTCTGACCAAGAGGTGTTTTACAAGGATGCGTTTTACTTTCTCTTTTATTTGGAGAGAGATTTTTGCTATGGGGCACATGTGCTCACCGGAGACACTGAGAGAGACGGAGAGAGCAAGAAACCACCCCCCAGGGGGGATGGCCACACCACAATCCCTTCTCTTCCATTCTCCTCTTGAGATTTTGGGCATGTACAAGTGCCCTGCATGAGTTTCAAACCTCCAGGTCTGGGACTCGAACCACGGTCAGCCATGTGGGAGTCCAGCGCCTTAACTGCTACACACCAGCTGGTCCCCATGTTTTACTTTCTTAAGTCAATTCTCTCCATCTTTGCATTTTTTATCTTCCACGGGCAAAAGAAGTTTTGCAAAGTTGTTGTTTTGTTTGTTTTTTGTTTGTTTGGATTTTTTTTTTGGTTTTGTTTTTTACCAGAAAGAAATGTAACAGGGGACCGAGTGAGCAATCACAGCGTGCTTTAAATCCCTCGGCTTTGAGTTCCGCGGTTAGGAAAACTCCGTGGTAGTGGGAACGAGCAGAACTGGGATCAGAAGTACCCGCTCCTGGGCCAAGTTCCGCTGGGCAGGATTATTGACTCAGCGCCTCTGTTGACTCAGCCACCAGCACTTGACCCCGTGGTGCAATCACCGCCCTTGCCCTTCACCTTCTGACTGTGGAAGAGTTCCCGTGTGTACAGCCCATCCTCCAACAGCTTAACCCAGCGCTGATTTCACGCAGGAGTAACTGAGTTGAAAGGAACACTTATATGGCTCTTGCTTTCAACACGTGGGAACACTTGCTGTTAAGAGCAGCTCCTGGGGGCCAGCGGTTGGAGTAATGGCTATGTCGCTGGACTCTCATGTAGCTGACCACAGTTCGAGTCCCGGACCCAGTGGCTTAAACTCACACCAAGCGCATGTACGTGTGTACTCAAGATCCCGAGAGGAGAATGGAGGAGAAGGGATTGCGGCGTGGCCATCCCCCCTAGGGGGTGATTTCTTGCTTTCTGTCTCTCTGTCTCTCTGTCTTTCTAGTGAGGGCATGCGCCCTATAGCAAACACCTCTCCAAAAAAAAAAAAACAAGAGTAGAGCAGCTCCTGAAGGGGGCGGTGAGCCTCGCATTCCCACGTGCTGGCTTGGAGGCTACACGTTCCAATCAGCCCACGTAGAATCGCTCAGAAGAGCAGGCAGCTCGGCAGGCCTGAGTTCTGGAGGAACCACAGCCACAGCTCTGTGGCCAGCACCCAAAGCCCCACTGCCTTTTTATTCTAGCGTTCCTGTTTGCACCTGGCCAACACAGGTTCAGCTTCTGTTTGCTTTTTGTTTCGTTTACTGCTTGTCAGTGAAAGCTTCATCTTCGTACTGCCTTGGGGCTGACGGCATCCACTTAGGCAAATATGCCTTCTGAGCCTAGCAGTGAGCGAATGACTTTTTGCTGAAGGCAGGATACGCTCTCTGAAGAGAGACAGAGAGAGAGAGAGAGAGATTGAGAGGGAAAGTGAGAAAGCACGCCCCAGAGGGGACGGCCACGCCGCCATCCCTTCTCCTCTGTTCTCGTGGGATCTGGGGCACGCACACTCACGCACCCGGTGTGATCTTTAAGCCACCAGGTCCGGGAACTCAACTGTGCAGTCAGCCATGTGGGATTCAGCTGCCTTAACCTCCGCACCACTGGCTGGCCCGATCAATGCTTTCTTACGTGGCTTGTGAACTACTTTTACAGCTCCAAAATCCCTGTCTGCCCACAGCGGCTGGGGACCAGCAGGCCACCTCCCCGCGGTGACGCTGAGAGGTGAGCTGGCTGCTCGCACTGCCTTTGGTATCAGCAATGTGCGTCCACGTAACCACCTGATAGCGGCCACACCCACGTCCATTCGCACTCTGCAAACTTACCGGGCAGCTAACCTGAGGGACTGTGCTAAGGGCTGGAGGCGCCACGTGAGCAGGAACGGGACCACTACGGGCCCTCGTGAAGTTTACATTCAGGTGGGAAAACAATTTATAGAAGCATATACATTCGTCTCTCTCTCTCTCTCTCTCTCTCTCTTTTTTATTTTTAAGAGAGATTTTCACTACAGGGCGTATGCACTCGCCAGACAAAGAGACAGAAAATGAAAAATCACCCCTATGGGGGGACGGCCATGCAGCAATTCCTTCTCCTCCAGTCTCCTCTCGGAATTTTGGGCATGCCCAGTGTGAGTTTTAAGCCATGGGGTCCAGGATTCGAACTGCAGTCAACCACGTGGGAGTCCAGTGATATAACCATTATGTTATCTGCTGGTCCCCAGCATTTGAACTTTTAAAAAACTTTGCCAGAAGGTGCATCCACTCACCAGACAGAGAGAGAAAGGGAAAGGGAGAAAGCACCCCCAATGGGGTATGGTCACCCCACTGTCCCTTCTCCTTCATTTCTTCCTCCTTTCCAGATTTTGGGCACACGGGCACACACACTCGGTGGCTTTCTCAAGCCACCAGATCCAGGACTTGAACTGTACAATCAACCAGGTGGGATCTAGCCACCTTAACCACCACACCACAGGCAAGCCCCACATGTAAATTATAACCAATAAATACAATAGGAAAAAAAAAATCTATGGTGGTGTAAAAGCCTACGGTAGTGAGACCCAGCCGGTGTGAAGAGGCCTTCAGGGAAACGAAGTCGGAGGTGCAGACAGGAAGGAGTTAGCAGGCAAAGGGGGCTGGGGTGGAGGTGAGTGGCGACCGCAGCGTGGGGGAGGAACGATGTCCCAAGTAGCATGCGCAGCATGTGCAGAGGGCTGGCCCCACAGCCTAGAGGTTAGGGGAGCTGGATCCCACATGGCAAACCTCAGTTCAAAGCCCAGCTCCAGAAGCTTGAAAACCACTGGGTGTGGGTGCGTGGCCCAAAACCCAAAAGGATGCAGAAATGAAGATGGGACGGTGGCATCGTCACACCCCTCTGGGGGACTGTGCTCTCCCTCTCTGTGTCTCTGACGAGCACAGGTGCCCTTCGGCAACAGGAGGCGGGGAGGGAACGTTACCAGAGTAACGATCTTCATGGACCCTAAAAGTGCGGAGAGGTCCCAGAGGGGTTTTAAAATGGGGAGGAGGTTGGGAGAGGGAAAATGACATGATGAAATCTACCTTGTTCAAATATTACTAAGGGCGGGGTGGGCAGCCAGTGAGGGGTGGCCAGGGCAGAAACCCGGGTGAGAGGCCATTCAATGCCACAGAAGAGAGGCCGGGGATGGTCATGTCGGAGAGAAACGGGAGGATGGCAGAGGCTAAGGACGTGCATTCTCTGGTTTTGCCTGAGCGTTCTTTAATTACAGTAACCCTCCCTCATCCGTGGAGGATACTTTCCAAGAGCCCCAGGGGAGTCCTGAAACTGCAGACAATACTGAGCCCCATATATTCCGTGTTTGTCGTATAATGCTTAATTGCTTTTCTCTCTTTTTTTTTTCCGAGGACGTGTTCCACATTTTATTTACACTTTAAGACTAACTTTCATCTCACAATCACATATCCGTACACCATTTCCGTGTTGTTGACTTCACGTCAACTTAAGTGCATGGTTTGTTCAGCAAAACTGTAAACGAGGACTTAGCGTGTCTGTTACATGTAACATACAGAAACGGCTCTTAACAGAAAGTCATCGATACAACCCCCCAACAATTTTTTTTATGATAAATACA